CATTTAAGCAGGGCTGCATTAACAAAGTGAAAAAACAAGGGTAAAATGGGTTCAAATGGAGCATTTTACTCCTAGTTGGCTTTAACAAAGCTGAATAAGGCTTATTCTGACTTTTTATGTGCAAGACTTGATAAACTGAATGAGAAGGCACTCAATGATCAGCCAACGAGCATTGATGAATGGTCATTAAGACCCCCCTGCTCTTAGGGGAGACCCTTCCACAAAGTGGCACACCAGCTTGAAAGGGCAGACTCACTAATGTCCAGATTTCTCCGCTTGCTTGTTCCACTTTCAATTGCAGACCACTGGCCACCAAATGAGGCTGACATATTGGAAAATAATGTTTTATGGGCGAATGGTAAAAAATAAAATGGAGGCATTAGCTCTGCTTTCAAATTCAAATCTGCTAGTTTTGTCAGACCCCAAAGGTTTTGATTTTCCACCCAGATGGAAGCTATTAGTTTTTCTAAAGGCATCCCACTGACAGGGCAAACCTACCTAATGTGTGAGCTGTTGGGCTAAGGGAGATGGACCTCTCTTTTGGATGATTTCCTAACTTCTTATCACTTTGACAGTCAATTAAATAGATACAACACCTAATAAAAATGTACATTAATTTGTTGCTGCCACTGAAAGACATGTGAAACTGCATTAAGTAAAAGCCATAGTAGATTGTCTTCTGACAAACATAAATCCAATTATACTTTGTCTGCCAGAGAAACAACTGGTTTATGTTCTACTTAGGCTACAACATAAGATGCAGCCAATGACAAAGAAATGAGTGGAGTAGGAAAAAAAAAATTAAGTTAAAAAGTTCATTGAAGTATTCCATAAAGGTAAGAGCTTAGCTGTCACTTTAACTCCTTTATATAAACGTCTGTTGTAAACAGCCAGCTACATTCACACTATTTCCCTCAAATATTTCCTTTTGGGGAAATGATTGGCAAGCATTTGCGCCTCAACTCCCAGCCAGCCCACAGAAGAGCTCGCAAGAACTTTACTTAAATGACAAGGGAACAGGGGACATGACTACCATCTTAAGAATTTGAAGGGTGTACAAACATCATGGGGTCAAAGGGTTATTTAGGGCTGTCCAAGACGGCCTAAGTGCTAGCAGTAAGATGGAATCAAGCAAAAGAAAGCATGCTGGATAGAGGAAGCTTGTCTTAAGAGGTGATTATAACAGACATCACAGAAGCAGAAAAGCTTCACTGCCTAGATCATTTGCAAGTAGACGACAAAGCACTACACAACACAGTGTCCCATAGAGAACACGCTGCGTGGTCTGTCGAGAAATCCTCATCTACTATGGCAAGTGGCAGGTCGAGAACTAGAAGTCATGACCCTTTCCCTTCACCTATGACATATCAAACTCAAGGACTCAGGTCACTTTGATTTTTGTTATCTCCATCAGTTAGAGTGAGTTACCAACGTGCACTAAAACTGTAATTTGAACATTCCAATCATAATGTATTTTTAAATAATAGTGATTTCCTAAACTGATAAGCCGAACAGTTTCTTAGGGGCTTTTTCCCCCCCATCTTCAATGTCTACAGAATAAAATGTTACCTACATAATTCCAACAATTTTTCAAGCAATGTATTTGATGTTTTTTTTGTTTTTTTGTTTTTTTGGTGGGCAGCAAAGTAAGGTTTTTTTTGAGAAATAGCGAAGTGACAGTACAAAGCTCCCAAGGAGGGAGGGGACCTGAGAGGGTTGCCTCAATGTATTTGATTCTTAACTCTGGCTAAAGTATAATATTCTCTACATAGGAATGAAAAGATGTGTATTAGTAATTGAAGTATGTGGGGCACATGTATGCGTGTTTCTGCAAAATGAAATCTGTTTAAGATAAAATATCACTTGCTGGAAATAAAGCTTATATTTGTAATCATTATAAATTTTTTCTGACGGGGCCGATGCCTTTAAAACATCACAACATATTGTAATTCTTTTCTACCAACAACTTTTGACTTTTGATGCCAAATCTTCAAAAACAGTCTGAAATGCTACAACAGACTTAGCACTTGCACTTACTGAATGTTATATTATTGAAATGCAAACTTCAAACCTAACTCATATCGTTAAATACAAATTACTCCATAGGCACCAGCAAGGGGTTAAATTATCTTAAAATTTTTGAAGGAACACACTTCCTTAGTAACCCACAAGGCTGAACACTCCCTGTATTAACTATGTCTTTTCCAATAACAGCATTTTCATATAAAAGCAATCAATCTTAGAAAGCACACCCTTGCATGCAAATCTGTAAATAAGTTACCATTTATACTTTCCTCAAATTTTTTCTTCTAACTACCAGAATCGCTCCGCTAATATAGGAGACACCCTAACTACCCATCCCTTATCCCTTATCCATTGGCAAGGACTGTAACACTATATGGAAAACCTTTGTTTCAATGTCACCACCTCCCCAGCCTGACTAATGGTGAGTTAGTTTTGTTAAAACGCAAGGGTGATGGCGTATGCTCCAATGAACTTTCCCTCCTCTCGGCACCAGAGACAAAAACCTGCAGCTCTGCTCTGTGCAGGAAGCCATCTGGACAGCTTTCCCTCAAATCCCAGCCCACACCACACTGCAGGCAAAATCGGAGGGCTCGAGAGCTCTGTGGGGCTATTGATGACATACCAATTTCACATTTTCTGCTTGTACGCTTGCAACAATAAATGCTAATGAGGACTATGAATGACAATTTTAAAGACAATAAAAAGGTCTCCAAATCCCTTGCATATGGAGACACTGTTTTCAAAACTTCACCTTCTGTTACAGAGCTGTTAGAGTCTAAAGGAGAAAAAAAGAATAACCTAAGGAAAACAATAAGATGATCAAAGCACAACTGAATCCTTAAGATTTCCAAAGAAAGCAATCTGTGTAAACCCAGGGAACAACAGATCTCACCACCCCTATGAGCAGCCCTATGAATTCATGAGGCACCTTTAATCTCTACTACCTTTGCCTTCTGTAGACGTGCAGCTTAATAAAAGTACTTCCTGCTAAACACTGACTTTTTTGGAGCCTGGGAATTCTAAGGGCAGCATTTGTCCAAAAATAATTATAATCACATCATCATCCTTTGGCATAATATTTAACAACTCCACATATCTTTAGATAAATGTAAATGCAAATTGCTTCTCTACGGATAACATCTATTCTTAAAAACAATGCAATGATTCTGGATGGTGAAATTACAAATCATGTTTATTTTCCTTTTTAAATTTTTCTGTTTTCCAAATTTTCTAAAATGAGCATATATTACATTTTGAAACAGAAAAAACAAAACAAAACAATAAATATTACTTTCAATGCAATGAAAGAATTGAACAAAAGACAGGTAAGTGTTTTGACCTAGATAGGAATTAAACCATTTTGCAAAACAAAAATAAAAGATTCATCTTCCTATAAATTGTATAAAGGGTATCATTTTCATTAACATGGATTAAAACACTTTCAACAAAATCCACCAGGTGGAGCAAATACACAGCAATAAAAAAAAGTCCCAGATTTTTTTTTTTTTTACCTCTAACAAACTCTCCCCTTCTATCTCTCCACATTCAGTTTATCAAAAGCTATGCACACGCACTAAATTTGCCACATTTGTAAACAAGTTCAAATGCACTCAAAAACGATTTTTAGCTACCATGGATTCCATTACAAATTTTCATTACAAAACCACTTTATTTGTTCAAATAATACCCAGCGCAGTATATCTGCTTTTTCACCAAGGTAAATTTTTTAATCAATGTTTTGCTCTGACCTACTACTGGCTTTCATCATGCATGCCCCTTCCCCACACAAACCAGGCAGAATAGAATTTAATGCTGTATATTCTTAAATACACTGAATAGTGGTTAAAACCTATAGACCTCAGCTCAATTCCTTTACTCTGTATGGAAACTTAACTTCTCACTCTGACTTTTCATTATGTGTATTCTTAACTGTATACACCGAAATCTTATTAAACTTTGAGAATACTGTGACTTTTTTACTCATTATATCACAATGTCCTGTCTTCATTCCTGACGCAGTCCATAGTTACCAACAGAATACGGTTTTTTCCCTTTTTTTTTCTAGAGGTATTCACCTCCTCCCATTTTCTTCTTCCACAGATCCACTTTTTTCTTGCCATTTCACTCCACACTTACTGAGCACACTCGGCGCCAGGCACCAACCCCGCTTTCTTGTTCGCATTTTCTTCTGTAATTCCTGACGCCACCTGCAAACCACAACTTTCTCCATTTGCTTTTCAGAGTCCTCCAAGCTTTTCTCACATTATACACTCTCCGCTGCCAAGGCTTAATGCTACAAATAACACTAATATTACTCACATTCAAGAAAGCTCCAGTGCGGACAGAACTACCAAGAAGTTAGAGCTGGAAAGCGGGGTACCCCGCGTCTATCACGTGGAGGAGGACACCAGTGAAGAACACTGCCTGTGGCTTAAAATATACTTATATATTTTCTTTTTTCCTATTTATATGGATGTGGAAAAGAGAAATGCTCTGAAAGAAATGCACCAGGCTGATACATAAATAAACACGCACATGCCCGAGGATACACATAACACTTCCGGCAGAGCGGTTTATGCTGGTGCATAACAGACCACGGTGAGGCCAGCTCCCTCACAAGATGCACGGGGCTAATCCAATTATTTAAATGATCATATACTTTTCACTGGAGTGGGATATAAATACATAAAATATTGACATTACCTCCATAAGTACAGTGCGAAAAGGAAGTTTTTAGAATCATCCCTACCAAACTCTTCCCTCGCAAAGGCGATTCCTTTCTTCTTTGCAAAGAATGGAATCAATTCCCTGGAGCTGTGCTGGTACACAAGGCAGAGGCATACGCTGCCCTCTTTATCTACCCACAGCTCCCATTAGCATTAATGACATGCACGTACGTGTATCAGAAGGGTAAATGCCCTTAAGTCTGCATGACAGAATCCGCATGAAGTAGTTGGAAAAACCAAATCACTGAACATGTAGTCACACTTTCCCCTCCCTTTGCAGGAAACCCCACTGCCGCCACCACCTCTGCTCCCCCACCCACCGTGCGGACATTTCATCAGCCCACATGTGGATAAAGAACCTGCTGGATTTCCTCTTGGTAAGATAACATCTTGTTATACTCTGGGGATCTCCCGAATAGCTCCATCTCCAAGCATTCCTAAGAATATTTATCCTATATATGGGGCGCCTGGGTGGTTCAGTCGTTGGGCATCTGCCTTCGGCTCTGGTCATGATCTCAGGGTCCTGGGATCGAGCCCCGCATCAGGCTCCCTGCTCGGCGGGAAGCCTGCTTCTCCCTCTCCCCCTCCCCCTGCTTGTGTTCCCTCTCTCGCTGTGTCTCTCTCTGTCAAATAAATAAAATCTTTAAAAAAAAAAAATGAATATTTATCCTATACTATCCTCAAATTGGCCACACATCGCTGTCCAAATATTATTTGTCAGCCACCCCCAGCTTCATCAAAGGGTGTGGCTCTTCCCACAGCAAATGCTCAAGTCCATGTTCAAGTTCCAAGGACAGGGGAAAAAAAAAAAAAACAACCCAACCTTAAAAGTTCTATCACCTTTGCTTAAAGATGAACTGTTCTCGTGGACAGATTAAGGTTCTAAAACTGCCTCATCAAAACAACCTCTGAAACTACTAGTTCCACACTGAGCTACTCCTGAGTCTGACCTAAAAGGGCAACTCACAGAGGACACGCTATAACAGGAATTAGGAAAACAAGAACCCATTAACTAAGCCCAGTTCTCCCCTGGTTAATATCTGTTGCCGTTGACAGAGACAATGTTTCAGAGCAAGGCCAGAGTATAAAATGAAAGAGCCAGATTTTTAAATTCGTTTAAAAAAAAAAAAAATTAAGTGTATCTGTCAGTGTAGTCCAGAAGGAGAGAGCCGGGACACAGCACTGGCAGGAACCTCAAATTCCTGACCAAACCCTCTTCCACACAATGCCTCCAGAAAGAAAGGAACCCAGGGCGGGAGCCAGCCTGACGCTGGCGGACAGACAGGGCTGGCCTTGCAGGATGTCAGAACGCCAGGCGGCTGTAAGAGATACTGGGTGTTCACACACTCTCAGGCTGACTGTTTTGCTCTTCAGGTAATTAAACAAGGAAGCAGGGCTCTGGGTATGAGCCTGACCCTGAAGCTGGGGCTCCATGGTTCTGCATATCAACTTCCGCAAGAACTGCCCGGGGCATCAACAGAACATTCTCCTCTCACTCTCTCTCGTTTCCTTCTCCACCTCTTCCTAAAGCTGACCCAGAAACAAATCCTCCCTACAAAAACATCCATAGAAAGGTCTGAGTCTATTTGTAATAAAAACCTCTGTGCTGTTGCTGTTCCCGGTCACTACCCCCCCCCCAATTTTAAAAAGCCAAAAATTAACCTAATGCAGGAACTCCGTAAAAATTTATATATAACAAATCAGTGCAAAACACTGCCTTAATTAAGATGGGTTATTCAAAGAAAATAATACCCAAATAATAACCCTGTTTTCTTTAGCCTGTGTGCTTGATTAAAGTGTAAATCTGCAAATTCAAAAAAAAAAAAAAAAAAAGCTCCCCAAGAAATGATTTTGATAGTCCGGTTCACAAATTAAACATTTGTTGTGTTGTACAATTAATATTGTTATTTTCAGTTTTGGTAATGGGCATTATGGCAAGTAAATACCACCTATGATCTGGTTTAGTATGTTTCTTCAAAAATCTCATTTAAGCAAAACTATATTTGTATACAAAGAAAGTCACCATTAAAAATCAGAAATATAAAAAATATCCCTCAAAAGAAATGAAAGTGGTACGCTTATACAAACACACACACACATACACACACACATTAAGCAATGATTAGAATCACATAAATAATATATTCTTCCTTCATCTCAAAATCCATAGAGTAAAATATTGGCTGAAAGAGACAGAGACCAAAGGAGAGAGGAATACAAAAGCATGCCTGCTTGTCTGTGTTCAACACAAAGAACATTAAATGAAAACAACTGGCATGCTGCCAAATTCCTATAGAGGCAAAGAGATTCAAATAAATTGATTTCACGCATCACACTGACCTGGGATCAGTGTGCAGTGTTACAATAAGCTCAAAGCTCCATGTGGGGTAAAGCCCATTAATGCTATCAGATCCCTCAAACATGACCAAGAAAAACTAAAAATAAATGCAGAAGCTCTCAAAAACCAGCAATTTTACTTGAGAAAATAACTTTCCTCTTTTCCTAATAAAGATAACCAATATTTAAGGGTGCACAGCACCATTTAAATTAACTTTTAAAAAAAATCACCCTTTTCTAAAATACAAATGTAGCTACTGAGACCCCATACAGTATCTACAAATTGGAACTATATCAGTATGTCACCCCATGATATGAACACAAATACACACCACCCTGCAACAGAAGTTTCTTCTGTCATAATTGTCTCGCACACTATTCCCCTTGCATTTTTAAGACAGCTAATGGATCTTTTTTAATTATTATTTATGACGACTACTGGACCCTTCTTAGTATTTTCCTTTAGTGGCTTCTAAGAGCAAGCACTCCCCAGCTGTCCTAAATCCGCCCACCCCTCACAAAGGCAAGCATTACAGGAGACCAACTTCAAACCAGATTCTAGAGGACCAGGCGTTATGCCTATTTTGGATATGCTTCAAAACACTGGGGGGAAACATAGCAGCGTTTTGCCTTTACCAGCTTCTACCTAAGCTGGTGGCTGTCCCCTCAGCATCATTCCCCTTCCCTGCTCCCCCACCCCCCACAGATCTGTCTCCTCATGACCCTCCCCCCACCCCCCCCCACCACCACAAACTCAACACACAGACCAGACTCTCTGGCGCCACCTCAGGCCATTCTCACTTAGAGCCCCGACTGTTCAACTTCACATAGTTCTTTACTTTTCCTGTCTCCAAATTACAACCCCAGGAACCCAATGGATTCCAGGTGTTTGCAAATTTAAAGTATATGATTTCTGTTCTTCTTTACTTCTTAGGTCAACTTGAGTCTGAACCTTCTATTTCTATATACCCATTACCATTACAAAAAGGAAGGAAAAAAACTAGAAGAAAAAGTGGCAATGCCACATAAAAAATAAAAAAAACCCAATAGCTATCCCAACAGTTATAAAATATATAAAATATATATAAATATTGTGTGTGTGTGTACTCTCATCATTTTTTTAAGGATGTATGCACACACACGGATAGAAAGGACAGAAAGAACTCAGCATGGTGTCCGATAACTGATGCTATCCATTCAGTATTTGCATAGGATAACAAAATGCATTAAGTCATTTTAAAAATGTCTTTGTCATGCATTTTTGCTTTCAATATGGACCCTCCATGCTGCCAAGGTACAAAGCCAGCGGGACCCAGACACAGCCCACGCAACAAGAGGATATGACTATAACGGGCTGGGGAAGGGTGAAGACCAGGACCCTCTGGATCTGCAACATACGTTCAAGTTTTTCAACCCAATAGCCTTTGCAATTTGTAATCTGCACCTTAGGTGATTTTATCATATTATTAAGAGCCCCCAAATAGACACATGAGGCAAAAAATGGTTATATCCTCTTTTAAAACAAGTGCTTTCTTCTGATGGAAGATGAAAAGGAACAAATTCCCCAGCAGGGGTTGCTGGTGTTGTTGTTACTATTATTACTAGTTTCCTTTAAGACATGGACACCTTTCTATTTTTAGACTTCAGAAGTCTAATCAACCCAGATGTGAGTTCACAAAAAATTAATTTTTAGTAACAACAGTACATGAGGAATAGAGCGGAGAGATGGCTCGACTATTTAATACAACTGAATTCCTTGCCTTCTCTCTTGACTGTCTCTCACTAATTACTGGAAAAGATCATCTTAAGATGAAGAATGAAAGGGGATGGGAATGAAAGGAAGAGAAACACAGAGGAACTAAATCACCATTTAGGCTACCTCAAAGGATTCGTAATTACATGGAAAATGATTTCATTTTCTATGGTCTTTCAAAAACAAAAACAAAAACACCCTCATTTGCCAACACCTTCTTGGAAACTTACAGAACAAGCCAATAAGTATTTGTAGGAATTCCAAGAGTAGATACTGTGGGGTGGGCACCAGCAGTGATACTTCCAGAACCATGGCCACAAATGGTAAATATTTTGCTACCTCTCTTTTCCATGTAGTCAGTCAGGCAGGCAGTCAAAGAACTTCAAACATCCCTTCCCAGTCACTCGAGTGCCAACCAGTATTACACAACATTTGTGTTAACTCTCAACTTTTTCCTGGCACCATTTATCTTTAATCGTCTGTGCTTCTGCACAAGCCCACTAACCCGAAAACTGAGCTGGCTACAGGAGGCATCAACTCTCTGGAACCCATAATTCAGGGTTCTCCTTAATTTTGAAATGTTGCAGGCTTTAAGAAGTCTCTTGCCAAATGGTAATAACATACTTAGTTGAAAGTTGCTGTTTTCCTACAGTTAGATTTTTTTTTTTTTTTTAATGTGCCCATGGACATGAATTCTGCTTAGGAAGTAACATTCACCTAAAAGTTAAAAAAAAAAAAAAAATCCAAATCAATCAGAAGAAATAATAAATTGAAAAGCACTTTCTTCCCCCTCTTTAGTCAACAAACTGTTTCAGAAAACACCATCTCAAGTTACAATAAACACAGAAATCATGGCATAGCTTTTACTCTTTAACTCCAAGTATTGCTCAGCTTATAACAGATGTATTATGAAACATGGCAAGAAGCACTGCAACAAGAAGAGGGTGGGAAAGAAATTTGGTACTTGATCATTTGAGATCTTCAGACCCAAAGCTATCAAACAAGGGCTCCCACAGCCAGGCTGATAGATCCCCACCCAATCACACACCCAAAGACTTCAAAGACATTTTTTTAAAATACAGAATACAAATTCTTTATTAACAGGCACTAGAAGAAATAAAAAGAAAAAAATCTCACAATTATAATTTATTGGGAAAACAATAATTTTTTTTTAAGTAAATGGCAAAATCAAAATATTTGTCTGTTCCTTACCTTGACAATATTCAAAGTTCCCTTTTTTCCGGCAGTCACCTATTACTAAACTCAGTGCTCTCCAAGTGTTTCTTTTGACAGATATCATTCTCCACCAATCGCTCTGCTAATTTCCTCTCTCCTTTTCTGACTGGGACAGATATTATGTTCACCAGCCCAGAGATCAATCTTTTCTATTGACAACAACAAAGGGAAAAAAAATGCATATATCACAACCAGTCTGAAGTATCACACCCATCCACTTACACGATAATACTAGACCAGTTTTGTTTTGTTTGTATTAAGAAACAGACACAAACTCTTCCAAATTTTCGAAGAATCCAAGACAATCCCCATGTTCTCAGTTCCTATAAGGACATGCTCTAAAGGACTCTTAATTCTCCAGTCATCTGACTCAAAGCTAGACACATTCTGAACCTGACAACTCCTTTTCCTTTAAATCGGTTTAAAACATATGTACATCAATACCTTAAAAGAATGCGTTAGCTTTTACCTTGTTCAAAAAAAAAAATTAAATAATCTGTCAGCTATTATGTTTTCTTTAGAAAATGCTTTGAAACATTATGTGTTTATTTTAGTGTATGGAATTTTACATACAAAATAAATTCTATTTCAAAACAAAGTAGTATCCATAGTGCTTCACCATTCTGAAATTTAAACATTGCCGTTATTAGCTAAAAGAGTCTAAAACAACTACTATTAGTCACAAATAATCTATGGAGTCAACTAGTTTTAAAATACGAGTAACAACAATTACTGGTGAATCATCTTACCAAATCAAAAAACTTCTTCTACTTCCTCTTTTTCTCTAAAGAAATCCAAATGTTCTCATTTTTCCTGCTAGATTTGGCAGCTTTAGAATTCATTCATTCATCCATTCTCAAATATTTATTGAGTGCCTATTACTCACTCTTACTACCACGACTATGTGTAGAAAAAGGTATCACTATTTAATTCTTATAATTTATGAACTATAACTCAAGCACAATCATATGCACGTAAGGGAGGAACTCAGTAAATGTAAAGGAATAAAGATTTATAAAAGCAGTCTCAAAAAGTATTACTAAAGCTGTTGCTATTATTTTTTTAAGGAGCCAAAGTACTCCCTAGAAATTAAAATTGGTGAATATACTCTGATGTATATAAACAAGCAAATTTTACTTAAAAAATAAATTAAAAAATCAATGTCCTTTATGGGCCACATTATGATTCTGTATCATGCAATCAGTTGTTCCTTATTTCTTATGGTAAAAATTAAATAAACATTTAGGAAAAATACAGTACTAGACATTTCTTAGTTGAGATTGCCTTGAGACTCAGCAAAGATCACTAAAGACAATCAGCTGAAACTTGGCGAACATTTAGTTTACCAGGTAACCTAATAAATGATAAAGCAAAAATTTCAGTAAGAAAATGACCAAAATACATGGATGTGTGTACACGTATGTAAACAGTCAAATACCAGAGGTGAGGTGGGGTGCAAGGGAGGGAGACTGGAAGTAAATACATCTAGATGTCAAATGATTATTTCTGGAAGATGGAAATAGGGGTAATTTTCTACACAATCCTATTTCCAATGTTTCTATACTAAGGTAAAAACATTTTATAAATAGAAAATAAACAAATATTATGCAGAAAAGGAGAAAATAGAAATTTTTTTTGATGCAATGATATTTTGTAATATTTTGTGCTTCAGCAACCACCAACAAAAGACATCAGAGAAACCAATAAAAGTGGATCATGCCAGGGTGGGCCATAGTTAATATCTCCACTGAACAAATGAAAGAGGCAAAGCACATACAAATCCCCTAGAGTCCGTTTCTTCCTTCTCATGGCTGCTAAATAGAGCCTAATGTCTAGATTTATTAATAAAAAAGGTGTAGAAGATCTCAGTTTTGAGACACAAAATTACAATGTGGATATACTTCCTTTGAAAGATAAATTTCTCAATTATAAATGATCCCCCCTCCCCCATGCAGAATATATTGTTTCACTTTTTAATTTGTGTCTATTTTATAATCAGAGCATGCTGAAGTGCATGGAGAAAAGTTGGCAGGAAGGTAGTGTTACAAAATATTTTAAATGTGCATGTTTATAAGTTCTTAAATGTTAACATGGCATAGAAATACACATTCAAATAATATACAATAAGAACCTAAAGTTACCCATGAGGATTTTCCCCACTTAACTAGTTTACATATGAAACACTGTATCACAATCAATAGAGTGACCCCCCCTAAAAAAACAGAAGCTAATATTTAATTTTTTTAAAATAATGACTTTGGAGTATTAAGTTTGTGTTTTATACATCCAACACATTCCAAAATGAAATAATAATAAGTAATGGTACTGAACACTATAAAATATATACCCAGATAGCGGTGATACAAAACCCACACTAAAGTCCGTATCCCCCCACAAATGATAGTAAAATGTCTCTCTTTAATAATTGCTTTGTTCAGATCCTCAGCTCTCCAATTTGTTAAACACCATGATGAGGGGAACATACACCGAGAAAAGTTTAAAAGCTAAACTCCACCAAGGGTAGAATGCCTCAAACAATTTGTAGTTCTACAAGAGTGTTATTAAAAAGGCTCAACATGTTGTATTACCATGGAAATTGTGGAAAACATACATTCCCAAACAAATATTACTTTTTCTCAATGGTATGAAGTAATGAAAACCACATGTGTAAATCTGCGATCCGTGCAGTAGTTCAAGCTGCCGCTAATAGAAAATACAGAAAGTGAACTCTGCTATATAAAGGATTCTTGTTACAGAAATATAATGTGAAAACCAGATGCAGGCAGAAAACCTTAATCACAGATGGGAATGTAATCACTGGCATACAGAATACTTTTTTGATCAATCTTAACCATATGCGCAATGTATTTATTTTCTAAGGAATGCAATAACTTGAGAGAACCTTCTATTTGAATTCAGTTAACCTCATATTTATAATGCTTTTATCTTACTCCCCCATCCCTTCAATGTGTACACAGAGCCAAGGTTTTAAAAGGAAGAGTTGCTAGCCTTGGCAAATCATTCCTGTATCAGTTTATCTTTCAAAAATTTAATAGGATGTAAAGACTACACACATCAGAATCAACCTCAAAAGAGACCAAGTGCAGTCCCCCATTACGGAGTTTCTCAGTCCCCGCCAGGAATCCCTCTGCTGCCTAAACACATTTCTCTAGAGAATCAGGTCAACATTTGGGGTAATTTTTCCTTTGGTCAATAATATGCATATAGTTATTCCACAAATGAACCTTTTTAAACACACTTCTTTATCAACCTGGATCGAATCAGACCTTAACTTTTCTCTTTCCTTTCATAAAAACATTTTATAGCAATAAAGACTGCTCCATTACATTAATAAAAATACAATTAGTTTTGTATACCGAGGGGAACCATCACAAAAGGAACCTGTTAGATCTATCTGACTTTGAAAATATTATCTTAATAAGTACAGTCCCTGACACTAGATTGGAGCTTACCTTTGTCAAAGCCTCCATGATCTCATCTGTAGGACAATCCTCCTGCATCCCCCTGATCCGAAGTAGTGAACCAAGCACCATGTATGCCACACTTTAGGACGACACTCAGTTTCCAATAGGAAGTGATTGGGATGTTATTTAGGTGTCCCTTATCATAGGTCACATGAACTCAACTTCAATAACCCAGTTACACAAGCTTCCTTAAGCTTCCATGAAAAACTCATCCAGATTCTCCTCCTCTCTCCTAACTACTCATCCCCTGATACACCCACAGAAATACACAGTCCTCAGTCTTGTGCCATTCAGCTATTCAAGACCCTCCATAATTTGGCACTAACCTACATTTTCCGCCTCTGTTCCAACCATGCCCTTCCAGGATGGAGCTCTTTGCTGGATAACACCCCCCCCCCCCCCATAGAATGCATCATCTCATCTTTATGGCTTTGTCCATCAACCTCAGGCCTCTTCCTGAGACTGTTGCATGCCCAGCTCCTTCTCAGACTCAGGTTTCATTCAAGTATAACCTTCTCAGAGATGATTTTCCAGCCACCCAAAACAAAGTCTCACCAACACCACCAGCATCCTCAACATTCTCTCTAACACTGATGTTCAACTGTCATCATTGTATTTAACACCATGTGGAATAACCTTATTAACATCTTTATTGTCTGTCTCCCTCCCCCATCCCTAAACTGTGAGCTCTAAGAGAGCGGTGGTCTTGTCTGTTTTGCTCATGACTCTATCCCCCATACTTAAAACTGTATCTGGCACACAGTAGTAGCCCAAAGAAAAAGAATAAAACAAATGAAATCCACCTACTGAAATGCTATAAAGCCCGACTCAATCACTGTGGCCTTCATAGACCGTTCCCTGACCACTCCTGGGTCCATGATCACTTTCTCTTCTTTAAATTGATGGCATTTATGATCCAAATCAGGCTGGGCAGCCTTTCCCTGCCAGACATTGTTCACCCAAGCCCCTTCCCACCAGTACTGTACATACCTAGGCCTTTATGGGAATCACCCAGGGCATCCTGGGTTGTGAAGGACACCATGATTAAGAACTGCAGCCTAACTCCACACAACCTACAGGAGTAAATGCACTGCGGTGGTTTTTACACATAGGCTCATCTCCTAACTGTGTTTAGCAACTGAGTTTCCCGTTGTAAGAAAATGATCTCACCTTAGTGTCTCTCGTTATGCCTTCAGACCTACCCTGATGCACTTTACTCATTCTACTGCAAGGGCCACGAGGGAAGGGGACCATGTTTATTCAACGGTCTTCATACCCAGCGCCTAGCACAGTGCCTGGCTCACAGAAGGTATGCACTCAGCCGATACTGAATAAATGATAATCAAATACTATCTAGTCCTTCTTCAAGCCCTTTTCTCTAACAGTGATAAAGCATTATTTTAGAATCTTTAAAATACTACTTTATGGAATAAATTAATCAGAAGGCAGGTGACCAATCTATGATTTGTTTTTAGGGTCAAATCAGCAATGCAAGGGCGCCTGGGTGGCTCAGTTGGTTAAGCGACTGCCTTCAGCTCAGGTCATGATCCCAGGGTCCTGGGATTGAGTCCCGCATCGGGCTCCCTGCTCTGTGGGGAGCCTGCTTCTCCCTCTCCCACTCCCCATGCTTGTGTTCCCTCTCTCGCTGTGTCTCTCTCTGTCAAATAAATAAATAAAATCTTAAAAAAAAAAAAAAATCAGCAATGCAAGATGACCCATGAGTTAACCAACCAGGGAATTTTAAATAGTAGGAAGCTCTTAAATACCTCCTCTGTTACGGATATAATTTAATTTCCAATAAAACAAAATATCCTAAAATGACTGTGGCCTACACATACTAACCACTTAGGAGCCCACTGCATGCATGTTCTGGCAGGCTGGAATCTCAGCTTTTATACTTACTTATCAGCTATTTAACCTTGGACAAGTCACTCAACCTCTCTAAGCTCCAGATGTAAATCCTAAAGTAGAATAGTAATACCTAACTTACCAGGATGATATGAAGATAAGAGAGAATACTTATAAAGTGCCTATCTTAGGGTCCCTAGTGCAAGCACTGTTTTATCCCATGGGCTCAGAACCTATCATTTGATAGTAGAAAGCTGGTAATGCCTATTTTAATATTATGGTTTAAAGCATTAAAATAAAAGCATTAGATCACTACTCAAAAATGACCTAGTACAATAATTTTTCCTTTTTGAAAGTCACTACTGTATGAATAGTGATAAAAATATTTATGATCAGTCAACAGTTACAAAATATGTGGAACTAAACCACAGGTCCTAAAACATTTTGCAGTAAAAAGGAAAAAATACCACAAACTAATGTTTTGTGATTTAATTTTTTTTTTAACTCCTTTAATTTCATCTGTGGAAGATCATCTCTGGGGGATAAGAGAAGAGAGAATCAATTATTTCCAAAGACTGATTTCTCCAAATAAAGGCATCTATTCCATGCTGGCAACTTTCACGTGAAAGAAAAATGGAACTTAGAAAAGTGTCTGCGTTCATGGTAGATGGTCACACATCGCAGAAAGGAGGTCTACAATTGTCCTGCGGCAGACATGGTCTGGTTGCTGCCACTCCTTATCAGCTAACATCTCTCTCTCTCTCTCCTTCTTCCCCCTCTTTTCTGCCTACCACGCCCCCCCACCCTGCCTCAGAAACTTAAAATAACTGTGGTATTTTTGGGGGCTCCTGGGTGGCTCAGTTGGTTAAGCGACTGCCTTCGGCTCAGGTCATGATCCTGGAGTCCCGGGATCGAGTCCCGCATCGGGCTCCCTGCTCAGCAGGGAGTCTGCTTCTCCCTCTGGCCCTCCCCCCTCTCATGCGCTCACTCTCTCTCTCTCTCTCATTCTCCCAAATAAATAAATAATCTTTAAAAAAAAAAAAAAACTGTGGTTTTTTTATACTCTAAACAGTAACTTTTCTAAGTGTAGTAACAAGTCTTGATAATTCTCCATTTTAACTTTAGTATAAGTCCCACCTGCAGTCTGTGTGGTTGGCCCCGTTCATGGGGGAAATTCCTAGGTGGTAGGATTTGAAGACTTCAGGAGAGCGGTACTGAGTTCTAGAACAGAGAAGCCTGGGAGTCAGAGAACCTAGGTCGGGACCTTGCCCCAGCACTCACGCAGAGTGACCTCTGGCAAGCGATGAAGCCTCTCCAAGTGATTTACAAAAAGAGTTCCCTTCCAGGTGAAGTTTAATTGAGACAATATGTGAACCTCACTCCGAGAAGACCTCCAATATGCCTCCTCCCCATGCATATCTGTCCGAAACTGCTCTACCACCTGCACTGAGAAACTGAAGTCTGCTCTTCTGACATGATCTCCTCAAATGGAAATGTGAGCTGGAAGGAGAAAATGACACTTTTCACTCACTTCCACATTCGGAGTCCCAGAATCGTGGGGGGCAATGGATCTCTCATACTACCCAGTACCTTCCCCCTGGTTCGAAGTCTAGTTCATCAAGCAGCAGAGAGGTTGGGATCTCATACAATGACAGGGATCAGACCAGAAAACAGACCTGGGCCACCAAAGGACAGAAGACAGCCCCTGGCAACTAACAGATAACCTGGGGGCATCTGGGAGAGGAGGAGCTGGGAGCCACTAACATGGTTTTTAGCCCTGTTGGGCCCCTGATCAAAGGGACAGTTCCAGCTCATAAATATGTCTATACACACAATATTTTCCTTACAATTTCAAGGGAGCTCATCCTTTACAAAAAGCACATTTGTGAACTTCAGGGTAAAGAAGTAAAATAAAACAGGTAGAGATGTGCATATATGAACACGCAAGTGATCTGACCCCTTCACAGTCTGCCTGGAGCTGATGGTGCACCTGGGGTTCATTTTGTTTTGTTTTTGTTTTGTGGTTGTTGAAACTTACAAGGCAAACTATAGCAGCAATAAATTGTACATTCTATGATAAGAGAACACAATGAAAGGGAACATCAAACAGGGCCAGACTCTCCATTAAGTATTTGCTGAATGAAGGTGACAGAGCAGGAACATCCAGAGAGAAGCAAAGGTCCTACAGGGGGTTTCTAGAAGAATGGTAGGCAGTTCCAGAGTGGTCAAGTCTGAGTCTAAGAATAAGCAAGACTTTATTAATGGTTTTACTCCATACATATCACCTCATGGAATTCTCATGACTGCCTTATGAGGTCATGCCATGATTATCCAGATGAGAATTATTTCCAGATGAACAGGGGGAGTAGAAGCAGATTCAACAAGTAGTACGGTACTTGGGAGTTAGGCCCCTTCCCCTCTACACTCCACACTGTCAGGGAAAAGAGAAGCATCACTTTGTCCCCAAAGGGCAGAGTCCCAGAACCAGTCAGTCCCAGCCTGATACAGGAGTCTCTAACTTTACAGTGAGTGAAACAGGTACAAGATTTACAAAAGGCTCAGAGGACCAAGGGGACATACAACAAGTCTCCTTCCAACCACCAAGACCCGGCCTCCACTTTCTTCCCCAAAGTAACTGCTACGGTCAGATGCTTGTACATATCCTCACAAGTAGAAATGTATGCATATTTTTCTGGACAAATGTAGCAGACTGTACAAATTGTTCTGCTCCCTGCCTCTCCCATTTCACCATATATCTCAGGAATGATTCCATATCAACACATATAAATTGGTCTCTTTCTTTTAAACACTATAAAATGATTTTTATGCTGCGGTCCTTTTTTGACTGCCTATGATTAATTCTTATCAAGCACAACTGACAACAGAGAAAAACAGTCTTAAAACGTTCCATTCTGACAGATTTTATAACAAAACCACAAACTCCAAATTTGGTTAAATTTCAAAAAGTAAAAAAGAAAAAAAAGGGGGGAGGGGACACCTGGGTGGCTCACGGTTAAGCCTCTGACTCCTGATTGTGGCTCAGGTGATGACCTCAGAGTCCTGAGATCAAGCAGGCATCGGGCTCCCTGCTGGTCAGGGAGTCTGCTCCTCCCTCTTCCTCTCTCCCTGTACCCACCCCAATTCATGCATGCGCATGCATTCTCCCTCTCTCTAAATAAATTAAATCTTAAAAAAAAAAAAAGATTCTCACCCTGTCCTTCTGCCCCTCCCCAATCAAATCAATCAATCAAGTGAAAAAGAACCATCAGGGTGTTCTCAAATTAAATGATACTGGACAAAACAAGGTGAAATACCCTGAAATAATATTATCTAGATGAAGGAGACCTAAAAGTCCCAAAACTGGTAGATTTTTGTTGTTGTTTTTTCAATAACTAAAATCCCTTAAATAGGGGAGACGATTAGCAAGCAACTTACTTGTAAAGATTTAATACTGTCCTTTAACATATAAAAGGGATTCCTTTACTTTTCTAATAGGAGGCCTCTATTTTTAAAAAATCATGGTCCCTTATATAGACAGTATTTTGTTTACTATGGGCTGATTGTAAAATAAATCAAAACAAGTTTCTAATAACTCAACATTTTTGTGCTTTTATTTCCATTTTTGTTCTTTTAAAGTATATTTGAAAAATGTCATTGCAATGAAAGTATTTGGTCTACAGACAACATTTGGGGTACCTCATGAATGACTGTGGGTTCAAAGGCCCCTTGAAATAACTCTCACACCCCCTCCCCACAAAGTCTGGGACACACTGGTTTATAAGGACACCTCAGCTCTTTCATTAGCTCCTCCTGACTCCTCACTCTCTGTTCCCTGCCTTCTCTCCTCTATATGATGTTAGGATTGAAAGAAGTTTCATAAATTATCCCGTAAATAAAAGTTCAGTGTCTGAAAAATGCAAAATAGTTAGGCTGCTCTGGTAGAAAGTTAAGGGTCAGACCCAGCCCACCTGAACACTTTCTATTCCCCCACCGTGGCCCAGAGGTACCTACAGAAAAGGGAGGAATCTCAGAACAGGTTAAAATTCATGCAAGAAGCTAAATCATATAAGGGAGCCACATCCCGGAGAGATCAATAAAAGTCCTCCATGCAACAACTACTCTTTAAGGAACACCTACCACTTGACAGCCCTATCACCATTTTCCAAAGGTAGCTAGACCACAGGAATCCCTGGGGCAGGGATATACAAATGGGCTCTGAGGCTTCTTTCTGGAGGCTGTGCTTCTGAGTCACATGGGACTCCGGGTCTATGAGTAGGGAAGCTGCTCCTTAAACATCCCAAGTGATTCTAAATTCTAGCAAGCTAGGGGCACCTGGGTGGCTCAGTTGGTTAAGCATCCAACTCTTGATTTCTTCTTGGGTCTCAGGGTAGTGGGATGGAACCTGACATCGGGCTCTGCGCTCACTGGGGAGTCTGCTTGAGATTCTCTCTCTACTCCCTCCCCCCCCCATGTGAGCTCACATGCTCTCTCTCTCAAATAAATAAATAAATCTTTTAAAAAATAAATTAAAAAATTCTGGCAAGCCAAGTGCATTGGACACACGCTCCAAGTTGTCAACTCTGCTTCCCTAAACTCACCCGTATATCCAAGTTCTAATTATTATTCCTTTGCAATGCCTTTTACATCTGCCTCTCCCTTTCCCTCCCACAAACCCAATCCTGGTCATCCTGCTGCAGTATCTAAAACCTAAGCTGCTGCCACAAGCTTCCTGCTTGGCCTTGGCCTCCAGTCATCCCCCCATTCCGACCCATGTGACTGATCACAATCAAACCAACTCTTGAGAAACATGACTGTAATTGGGTCCACGGTTTCCCCTTGTCTAGCACAACTTTTTTCGCTTTTACCTTGGTTTTATTGAGATCTATTTCACCACGGTATCCTTTCTCCAAAAGAAGCCCAACTAGAAAATCTAATATATAAAGCAATTTGTCATAAAAGCAGAACTATTCTGGTTTCCCAGTGCTAAGACCAATGAACGGGTGTGAACCCAGGCCAGGCACCCTTCATGCCCAGTCCCACCCTGAGGGGTCCCATAGGACAGAGTTTTAAAAACTTCTGGCTGCCTCAGAAGATAAAGCTTAAATCAAAATGCTTCATATCCAAGACACTGAGGATCTTTCTGCTTATTTGCCAATAATCACCCATGGGTCCTTTTTGATACAGCCACATTCTTCAATTTACTCTCTCTCCAACCCCTATCACCCTACCCCAATAGTCCTCCAAAAGCCTCTTCCACATCTGGCTTTCTGCACTCCACATTTCTACTTTATAGCTGCCCACCAAGCCCATTACAATAACTTTACTTTGATAAATCCTGTCTTAAGACAAGCTGAAATTCCAACTCGCTCCCCCCTCTAAAAATCTCATTTACTATACCATTTAATTGGTTAAGCCATTAAGCCTCACCTCACCAGCTTATTAGCAATTTTATTTGTCCTGAGTGAGTTTATCATTCAGTGGGAATTAAGTACACACTGAATTAGATGTATACCCACTATACGTATACAGTATGTGTGTATGCAAACCTACTACCTAGTCCATGTCTCCGTCTTAACGCACTGCTTTACACATAGTAGGCATTCATTAAATATTTATTAATTTACTTCTGATGGACAGCGAAGAGTAAAAATTTTTCTTTCAGATACTCGAAAAAGGGTCATTACTAGGACTACCCAAAGAGCATACGCTTTTCTTTAAAAATAGGAAAATTGGGCTTACTGGATTGTTCATTTTACTGCTCTTCATTTATATTTTTCTATGATATTTTATACCCGCTCCCTCTAGCCAACCCAAAGCTGGCCTTGGACAACTCAGTGGAGACTGGTCACATTTACTTTCCGTTTAGACCTGAACAGACCTACCTACCCTTATTTAAACAAAAGGATGTGAATTCACTGTCCACGTTAGTTTCCCATCAGAGGTCAAATGTGGATCTCATCTCTAAATAAATCTTAGCTCGAGAGGAGAATGAAAATGTGTGACAGGTAGG